TTTACAAATGAAAATCCATTGAAAATAATGCCTCGGTACAATTTTGTTTTGCAATACGAAGCGTATGTTGGTGACGATTTTTAAATGAAATTTCTGGGGGTTTTTTTTTCCCTTCTCTATAGCTCACAGAGTTAGCTGTCACTTTCCAAAGAGCTAAAGGATACTTTGTTTTTTTTTTTTTATCTTCGGAAACAAACTAAAAGGAAACATTGTTTCTTTTAACTTGTAAATAAACTAAACGGAAACTAACGTTCTTTTAGCTGGGGGGAGAGTGACAGCTGAGTCTCTGAGCTATAGTGAAGAAAAAAAAAAACCTGGTAATTACATTTAAAAAACCGGCGCTGTCCTATAGTGACAGCAACTTTTTTTTTTTTTTTTTTTTTTTTTACTCTTTTCTGACCTCCAGAATGGATTAATTGGTTTTCAATACATTCCTATGGGAAACCACATTTCGGTTTATGAATTTTTCGCAATACGAAACATCCCGGAGGTACATGTGTGTATGTGTGTATGTATGTATATATACATACTGTGTATGTGTGTGTGTATGTATGTATGTGTGTGTGTGTATATATATATATATATATATATATATATACCCACACACACACAGGTGAAACTTGAAAAATTAGAATACCGTGCCAAAGTTCATTTATTTCAGTAATGCAACTTAAAAGGTGAAACTAATATATGAGATAGACTCATTACATGCAAAGCAAGATAGTTAAAGCTGTGATTTGTCATAATTGTGGCTTACAGCTCATGAAAATCCACAATCTCAGAAAATTAGAATATTACATGCAATCAATAACACAAGGATTGTACATAGCACAATATCGGACCTCTGAAAAGTATAAGCATGCATATGTACATGGTTTGGGCCCCTTTTGCAGCAATTACTGCCTCAATGTGGCGTGGCATGGAAGCTATCAGCCTGTGGCACTGCTGAGGTGTTATGGAAGACCAGGATGCTTCAGTAGCGGCCTTCAGCTCTTCTGCATTGTTCGGTCTCATGTTTCTCTTGGCAATGCCCCATAGATTCTTTATGGGGTTCAGGTCAGGCGAGTTTGCTGGCCAATCAAGCACAGTAATCCCATGGTCATTGAACCAGGTTTTGGTGCTTTTGGCAGTGTGGGCAGGTGCCAAGTCCTGCTGGAAAATGGAGTCAGCATCCCCATAAAGCTCATCTGCGGAAGGAAGCATGAAGTGCTCCAAAATCTCCTGGTAGACGGCTGCGTTGACCCTGGACTTAATAAAGCACAGTGGACAAACACCAGCAGATGACATGGCTCCCCAAATCAACACAGACTGTGGAAACTTCACACTGGACTTCAAGCATCTTGCAGTGTGTGCCTCTCCATTCTTCCTCCATACTCTGGGTCCTTGGTTTCCAAATGAGATGCAAAAGTTGCTCTCATCAGAAAAGAGGACTTTGGACCACTGAGCAACAGACCAGGTCTGTTTTTCTTTAGCTCAGGTAAGACTCTTTTGACATTGTTTGTTGTTCAGGAGCTGCTTGACAAGAGGAATACGACATTTGAAGCCCATGTCCAGGATCCGTCTGTGTGTGGTGGCTCTTGATGCACTGACTCCAACCTCAGTCCACTCCTTGTGAAAGTCCCCAACACTTTTGAATGGCCTTTTCCTGACAATCCTTTCCAGGCTGTGGTCATCCCTGCTGCTTGTGCACCTTTTTCTTCCACACTTTTCCCTTCCACATAACTTTCTATTAATGTGCTTTGATACAGCACTTTGGGAACATCCAACTTCTTTTGCAATTACCTTTTGAGGCTTTCCCTCCTTATGAAGGGTGTCAATGATGGTTTTCTGCACAACTGTCAGGTCAGCAGTCTTTCCCATGATTGTGATTCCTACTGAACCAGACTGAGAGACCATTTAAAGGCTCAGGAACCCTTTGCAGGTTTTATGGCTTAATTAGCTGGTTAGAGTGGGACACTTTGAGCCGAGAATATTGCACCTTTTCACAATATTCTAACTTTCTGAGATTGTGGATTTGGGGTTGTAAGCCATAGTCATCACAAGTATGACAAATCACGGCTTGAACTATCTTGCTTTGCATATAATGAGTCGATCTCATATATTAGTGTCGCCTTTTAAGTTGCATTACTGAAATAAATGAACTTTTGCATGATATTTTAAGTTTTTGAGTTTCACCTGTGTATATATATGTATGTACAGTCAGGTCCATAAATATTGGGACATCGACACAATTCTAACATTTTTGGCTCTATACACCACCACAATGGATTTGAAATGAAACGAATAAGATGTGCTTTAACTGCAGACTGTCAGCTTTAATTTGAGGGTATTTACATCCAAATCAGGTGAACGGTGTAGGAATTACAACAGTTTGCATATGTGCCTCCCACTTGTTAAAGGACCAAAAGTAATGGGACAGAATAATAATCATAAATCAAACTTTCACTTTTTAATACTTGGTTGCAAATCCTTTGCAGTCAATTACATCCTGAAGTCTGGAACGCATACACATCACCAGACGCTGGGTTTCATCCCTGGTGATGCTCAGCCAGGCCCATACTGCAACTGTCTTCAGTTCCTGCTTGTTCTTGGGGCATTTTCCCTTCAGTTTTGTCTTCAGCAAGTGAAATGCATGCTCAATCGGATTCGGATTCAGGTCATTGATTGTATTCACTCTGGCGAAGTCTTCTCTTGATTGTTGAGCGTTTGGCTTATGACACACATATTGCCCGAAACACTTATTCCTCCTGGAGAGTGTTCTTGATCTGGCCAACATGTTGAGGTGAAGGGTGAGCAGTTTTTCTTCACCAGTTGGTCTAAAAGATGTTGTTCTTCGGTCATCCACCACAGTTTTTGTGGTTTTTCCGTGGTCTTCACTCTGGCGGTCTTTTTGGTGTTGACTTTGAGCTCACCGGTACGTGTTTCCTGGCCAACTGTTGTGAAGGGTGTTTTTTAAGAATGTTCCAAACAGTTGTTTTCCGTGGTTGTTTTGGCCACGCCTAACAGTTGTTTTTTGCTATCTCTCTGATGGGTTTGTTTTGTTTTTTCAGCCTAATGATGGCTTGCTTCACTGATAGTGACAGCTCTTTGGATCTCATCTTGAGAGTTGACAGCAACAGATTACAAATGCAAATAGCACACTTGAAATGAACTTGAAATGAACTCTGTGACCTTTTATCTGCTCATAGTAATTGGGATAATGAGGGAATATCGCATACCTGGCCATGGAACAGCTGAGAAGCCAATTGTCCCATTACTTTTGGTCCCTTAACAAGGGGGAGGCACATATGCAAACTGTTGTAATTCCTACACCGTTCACCTGATTTGGCTGTAAATACCCTCAAATTAAAGCTGACAGTCTGCAGTTAAAGGACATCTTGTTCGTTTCATTTCAAATCCATTGCGGTGGTGTATAGAGACAAAAATGTTAGAATTGTGTCGATGTCCCAATATTTATGGACCTGACTGTATCACTCCCCACGCCGACATTGGCAGCTACAGCTGTAAATCACCGGGTTCCAGCAGAGGATTCCCCCACCGACACCCAGCAATTGCCCCAGAATACTTACGGGGGAGGGGTTGGTATGTAAACAATACAGATCTCTCCCGTCAGCACCAGCAAGCTGCTTTGTATTGCTTTGCAGAGCCTCCCTAGTAAGAAAAAGTAGCACACAGTAAAAACACACGCAGCACATAGTTAACCCTTTGATTACCCCAGATGTTAACCCCTTCCTGCCCAGTGCCATTAGTACAGTGTCAGTGCTTTTTTATTAGCATTAGTGTATTAGTGTCACTGGTGATTTAAGTGACAGTTCCCCCCCAGTGTCAGAATGCCTGCCTCAGTCCCGCTATAAGTCACTGATCGCCGTCATTACTAGTAGTTTAAAAAAAAAAAAAGAAGAGAAAAAATTCCAGCATATATACCACCATTTACACATATTGGGATTTATACATATAGCAACGTTCATTTTTGGCCTAAATTTATGACGAAATTTTGATTTTTAACATTTTTTTACTGGACATGTTTTATAGTAAAAAAAAAAAAATAAATAAATATGTGTGTGTGTGTGTGTATATATATATATATATATATATATATATATATATATATATATATATATATGTATATGTACATATTTTTTTTTTTTTTTACATTGTCTGCCATTTTTTGTTTATAACAAAAAAAAAGGCGACCAAATACCACCAAAAGAAAGCTCCATTTGTGTGGAAAAAAAAAGGACACAAATTTGATTTTGGTGCAGTGTTGCATGACCACACAATTGTCAGTTAAAGTAGCGCAGCGCGGTATCACAAAAATGTCCTGGTTAGGAAGGGGGGTAAATCCTCTGGAGGGCAAGTGGTTAAAGGAAACGTCAAATCTAACGTAACTGAATATGACCTGTGAAGTGCTTTGACAGTATATAGAGTATCGCCTCAAACTGGTATTGAATACTGTTTCAGGTGGGTTTACAATTTAAAGAGGTTCAAAAGGCTTAAGGTTTTTTTGACCTTCATGCAATCTATGCGTGAAGGTAAAAAATCTTCTGTATGCAGCAGTCCCCCCTAATACTCACCTAAGCCCCCTTTCAATCCATCGATGTGCACTGCAGTCTCAGCTATCCCGTGACTCCCTATCCTCATTGGCTGAGACAGCAGCGGGAGCCATTGGCTCCCGCTGTTGTCAATCACAGCCTGTGAGCCAATGAGAAGAGAGAGTGGACAGGGCTGAGCTCCAGCTCCGTGTGTGAATGGACACACAAAGCAGCGGGTGCCCCCATAGCAAGCCACTTGCTGTGGGGGGCACCTGACAGGAGGGTAGGGGCCATGAGTTCTGGCTGGGGACCCGAGAAGAGGAGGATGCGGGCTGCTGTGTGCAAAACCACTGCATGCAGCAGGTAAGTACAGACATGTATGTTGTTTTTTATTTTTATCAGAAAACATTTAAACCTTTAACCTCCCTGGCGGTATTCCCGAGTGTAGCTCGGGGTAAAGTTTCAGCACCACAAGCGGTAACCCCGAGCTACACTCAGGAATACCCTGCAACGCTGCTGCTGGATCTCTTCTTCACTTACATTGTCCTGCGCTCCCGCGATATCCTCCCTGCAGTGTCCCCGGCAATGTCCTCCGGCTGATGCCGGCATCTGTCTTCCGGGTTCCATTCCCTGCGACGTCGGGATGTGCGGGAAATTTGAAGATTTTAAAAGTGACATTCACTAAATACAGTAATGTTTACTATGTGATTTTATTGTATCAAACCATTTCACATACATTTTTTTCCTGGTGCTTTGTCCGGCGCCCTGCCTGCATTTTTACCGTTCTTTCTACCTTGGAACTGAGAAATGTTCATGGCGTCCAAAAAGTGTCCCTTTAGGTCAAAAGCAGTTTTAGACCAACTAGAGAACAGCGATAGTAAATCAGAACCACTTGCAGAATTGAGTGATAATGATTCGTGGGGAAATTCGTCATCAGACACTGAAAATGATTTTGCGACTTTGCTCAGTGATGTGCAAACTTGGTGCTATATTTCAAATTTCAGTGTTTTTGGTTTGATTATATTATTGAATTAAATTTTTTACAATAAAAAAACTACATATTTCCATGCAAAAAAATGTACCGCTTTGAGCACAGAAATATGGACATAATCAGACCGCTAGGGAGGCTACAATCATTTTAAATGTGTTTTGTGGCATAATCCCTTCAGGCAGGGGTGGACTGACCATTTGGAAACTTGGGCACTGCCCAAGGGCCCAGGGTCAGTAGGGGGCCCCATGAGATGCCCCTGGTACCTTTTTCATAGGCTTTTTTGAGGTTGGGCAAGGACAAAGGGGCCCCATGATCCCCTATTGCCCGGGGGCCCCATGAGTTGTCAGTCTGCCCCTACCTTCAAGTAACCGTTTTCTTTCCTTGTTAGCATGACGAAAAACTGACTCACTGTGCCACCTAAGCGTTCGTCCGTTTGAATTTATATTTTGCATCCCATAAACTTTTTTAAATGGCAAATTAAAAAAAAAATGTAAAAAGGCTAGTATTGAAATTGCCCTCTATGGAGTTTGAGTTACAGTTTTTTCCAGAGAATGTTAATTTTATCTCTATACTTTTTACAGGCTCCCTTTACATTTGGCCTCGGCCAGAGGGCTCCATACACAACTGGAGAACATTGCCTTCTCTGTAGAAGCGAACGCAAGGACCTTGCACTTTCTGAGTGCAGCACAAAAAATTCAAGCAAACTAGCACTTTCTACATCTCCTAAAGCCAATGCCAAGATGCACCTTCCCTTGTGGGTGTGCTCAGACTGCCGAAGGACAGTAGAGAGCGAGGATATCCATCCCACACAAGACCAGTCTTTAGTGGTAAGTGCTGGTGCAGGGTTTTTTTGGGCTTTGCTCAGTAATGTCACAAAAAAATCTCCTCTCATGTGGAACATTACTTGGTCATATGATTTACAAGAGCTGATTTTAGCTCTGTTGGTTGTCTGTGCACAACTCTAGTATGTCCACATAGTGTTAGTACATCCTGCCCCTTGTAATCTCCTAATCGCCATCATTTGCCGGCCAGTAACTGGCCCCTTGAAAAACGCTGTCCAATAGATACCTGACCTATACCATCTGGATCTGAAGGTTATTAACCCTTTTGCTGCCGCCAGAGTATAATGTCCGCAGTAGCAGAGGAGGATTATACACACACTTCCAGCTGCTGTAGCATCTGTGTAAACTTCGCAAGCTTACACGCATGCTTCCAGATGGAGGTTATCTGGTGGCTGTCCATTGATCCCTGGAACACGTGCCTTGTATGATCTGGGCTGCATTAGCAATGCCCAAGAACAAAGTATAACTATGATCAATTTTTAGTTTTGGATGGGATGGACAGGGAGGTTACATGGATTAGAACAGCTGTTTTTATTGCTGTCTGTGCCTTTATCAGGGAGACTCCACCTGTTTGTCCTGCTTTTTGTGATCAGCAAAAAGGAAAGTTCAAGAAAACCCCAAATTTTGAGTTGTCACTTGAACAGTGATAGAGGGGAAATCTTCTAATGGGGATATAGTTCTGGTTACAACCAGGGATTCCTGCAGTTTGGAGGGACTTCATTTCCACTTCCTGTTTTGGCTATTGGACAGATGGCAAAAAACCACAGGGTTTATAACCCTTCTTTACACCGTCCAAAATGGAAAAAAAAGTGTTTTTCTTTTAGTCCTACTTTAACACTCCCCTCCCCTAAAAAATATTGCTTTTGCACTAAAAATAACCCCCCACGCCAGAAAATATGGGTTTAAAAAAATGTTGTGCTAATATCATTTGACATTAAAAATTGTAGCTACGACCATGTTATTCTTCAGAAAATGTATAAAGTTTAGGGGTTTTTAACTAATCTTTAGGCCTAAAATGTGCATTTTAATGTCTGAAAAAAGGGACAGAAATAGCACTGGCAGCAAAAGGGTTAAAGTAGGCATACCCGGTCTATCAAAAGTGCTCGTGTGCCCGATATTTGCACCTTATTCATTTCTCAGTGTGACTTGCATTGGTTTATTTCCAGTCAATGAAAAGTCCTGTATTAGGAAAAGTTATACTTTTTGTCAGTCTATACTAGCCGTGTCACTAAACAGTCACCACCAGTTGGTTTTCCGTCACCTTAACCCTAGGATCACATCTATGCGGGTGGTTCTGCTGCGGATCCGCACGAAAATCCGTGCAGCCGCACCACCCGCATAGAGAAATGTGGACCCGCGGACGGGTGGCATTAGTTCTAATGGCACGCTGCCCGCACTGGAAAACGAGGTTCCTGTGCAGGCTGAGTTTTCAAAAGTAGGGCAGGAACTTCTTCCCTGCGTGTCACGGGCACGGGAGTCCATTCAAATGAATGGGCTCTCTTGCCCGTGCAAAACATGGCCCGCACGGCTGAAAATATGTGAACCGGGGGTAAAGCAGTAGTAAACAGCATCCAAAAAAATATAAATCCCCTGCAAGGCAGAATGTGGTAGTATGCATCGTATACTAGCACATTATGTATAACGTACCTTAAAACAAAGCCTTCCTTCGGCGCAATTGACACCACTGATAGGGCTTTAATCTTCACTCTGTCCTCCTTCCAGGTTCTTATGATCCGGCAGCTTGAATGGCCGAGCCGCGATGACGTCACTACTGTGCATGTGCATGGAAGTCTCAGGACACGGCACACTACTCTGAAAGAACGGCACGGTAATGCCATTCCTTTAGAGCGCATGCACCGGCTCTAAATAAAACCAAATATCTGCACGTTTGGGAGATACTCATTTTACCTACAGAGGTAAGCTTTATTATAAGCTCACATGTAGGTAAAAATTATCAAAGTGGCTTTTCTGCCACTTTAAGAGATGGTCAGTAGCTATCTTCTTCACCTTTCCTGCCCAGATTCACAGTGGTCCTGTTCTTGGCAAATGTGGACATACTGTAGAACACAAAGGTGTCTTAGACGCTAAACTTCATTTCAGGTGTTTTCTATTTATTTTCACAGAGCTCCCTAAACAATTGCAGTATTATAGACCATCATTGCTGTTGCAAGGTAAGCGTGTCAATGGTCCTTGAACATTGCACATCATTACTGAGCATGATGTCTATTCTGCACTACCAGTTTTTGCCTAGTTATGTTTAGTGATGCAGATATCGAGTCAGAAGTCAGGATGGAAGAAAGCAGAGATTTGCAGAGGGGGAATATCTCACTGCATGTTCGCTACTTAAACTGATCAGAAGTTTATAAAGTGATCCTTGGGCCATCCATGGCTTAGGTCGCACTGATTTACATCATTGTAGGTGTTTGTATCATATATGTAAACCAGTTATATATGTTTTCTAAGACTAAACATCTTGTTTTCAGAGTCAAGATTTCCTTTTGCACATGCCCCCGGGGAACAGCGGTTCAAAACAGGAGTCTGTTGGTGGAGGAAGGATGCTTGTGGGAGCTCAGACAGTTGCACCTACCGTGGCACTTAATAATACGGCACCTGGTGATATAGCATGCAGTTGTGATGCATGTAACGAGCGCAGGTAAGCCTTCACAAATTAGTTTTCAACTTCATTACAATAGGAGTGGTAAACAAAAAAGCTGCATTTCATTACAATATAAGATGTAGATGTGTGTTCGGGCTCTCAAGCTGTGTTGTGACTAGAGGTTCTTTGCAGATATGTTGAACTTTGATACCATTGGATAGCTATGGGTTCCTTTCATATCCTGTTAATCTGCTTTGTTAGATTTTAAAGTATTTCTTCTGCTTTTTCGGGGCTCACAACTGCAAGGAACACAACTTATGCATTGTAACTCATTGACCTGTCTTAAAGAGAATGGGTCATTTGTGAGTGTGTGTGGGAGCAGTTTCTCTTGAGTCCAGATAATACATAGCCAACAGATTCTCCTTTTTTTCCCCAATCTATGTTTTGGACAGGAAAAAGCCTCATAAACTTACATTTGCAATTTTTAAAGCGATTATGTCAACAAGTGTTATCATCTTATAAGTAAACGCTAAGAGCAGATGTAACCCTAAATGCCTAATATTACCTTGCCAGCCAGGTAGCCTCATCTTTGTTCCCCAATGAAACTATATTCACTTTGTTACCATAAGTCATGAATTAAGGTCCAAGCCCTGCCACCTGTCATTACCCTTTTCAATAAAACTGTCTCAGCAATTTAAAGGAAACCTATAATCATATACTTTCATTTTATAAAATCAGTATTGTAGTAGCAATACAAATGATACCAATTTTTGACAATCCAATATAATTCTACTGGAACAAACTGCTTTCGTGTTGAGGAGTGCTGTTTGTCTGCTGGCCATCTCTTTCCACAGATTCCTAGTTTCCCAGCATGCTTTGCAGCTTCTCCTGTGCTCATTCATTTGGTTTAATTTCCATCTTTCTAAGGACTACATATCCCATGGTACCTTTCTGCATTCAAGCAGTGATATGATGTGGTATGTCCTACTTTCAGCACCTTTGTAGTTCAGAAGGAAGGCTCTGTGAAATGTGTGACCCCAGCAGTGCATAGTCACTGGGCAGTGAATTAAATGTGTCACTGAATTCCAAGAAGGTGGTCATTATGCTACGAAAATGTGCAAAAAAGATCGATTTTGGACATAGACAGAAAAAAATATTTTTCATACACATTAAGTTAATATTTTTCCACGTCTGCTTATCCCTTTTGATTTAAAGGAGAAGTACAGCCAAAGCTCTTTTTGCTGTACTTCTGTGGATCACAGGAGTACAGTATGTTCTGTACTCCTGTTACCTGTTTTCAGCTGACAGTGGACTGAAGCGTGCTGTTGGCTGATGTCTCTCAGCTGGTCCATGCTTGGGAAAGATTCCAACTTCAAAGTTGGGGTCAGCCGTAGAGTCTGGAGCCGCATTTGGTTCAGATTCTTAGCATTTTCACCCCATCCACAGCCCAGCGCTCCAGTGAGAGCTTGGGGGGAGGAGCGGGGGCTTGACAGACAGCGATGAGAACATTGATCAAGCTGTTCATTTGAGCAACATATGCTTCTTGATCAGCATTGTCAATAACTGAAAATTGTCAGGAAGCTTTTAAATTATTATGAGGGAAGGGGGGGTTACCTGTTCTCGTGTATAGTTGAAGTGTTTTAAACATATACAGTCCTTGTTCCATTTGTAATAAAAAAAGGTACAAATTTAAAAAGCAAGATTTGTTTAGCTACTGAATAAGCTGTACTTTTATTTCAAGCGTACTTTTTTATACACTGCATTTCACCTTCCCAGTGTAACAAATTTTAATTTGTAAAAATACTCCACCCCAACCACGACTAGTGGTGCACCGAAATTAAAATTCTGGTGCCGAAACCGATGCTGAAAATTCAGAATGCATGTGGCCGAAAACTGAACTGAAACTGAAATGTCTGCGTATCTGGGGGTAGGGAGGCTCCAATTTTAAATTTTTTTATTTTTCTACTGTCATGTATATTTTTATTTAATTTTTTAACTTATGATATTATTGCTATCACATAGGGGACCAATAGTATAATAATATAAGTGACAGGTCCTCTTTGTAGGGGGAGTGGTTGGGAGGCTGTGTGTGCAAGGAGGGGAGCAGTGTATGCAGAGAGACTCTCTCACTGGCTGTCACTATGGGGTTTATTTACTAAAGCTGGAGAGTCCAAAATCTGACTCCCTTCTGCATAGAAACCAATCAGCTTCCAGGTTTCATTGCCAAAGCTTCATTGAACAAGCTGAGGTTAGATGCTGATTGGTTTCTATGCAGAAGGGAGTCTGATTTTGGACTCTCCAGCTTTAGTAAATAAACCCCTATATGTCAGTGCCGGTTTTTAAATGCAATTGCCTGCTTTTTTTTTCCCTTCACTATAGCTCACAGAATTAGCTGTCACTTTCCCTGGAGCTAAAGGAAACGTTGTTTCTTTTTTCTTGAGAAAAACTAAAAGGAAACTGTTTTCAGCCGGTATGTTTCGGTGGCCGAAATTTCGGTGCATCCCTAACCACGACACTACCTGCATGGAGTTTGCATGTTCTCATTTTGTCTGTGTGGGTTTCCTCTGGGTACTCCAGTTTCCTCCCACACTCCAAGGACATGCTGGTAGGTTAATTGGATCCTGTCTAAATTGTCCCTAGTATGTGTATGTATGAATGTACATTAGAGACCTTAGCTTGTACAACCTTTGAGGGTTAGGGACTGATGTGAATGTACAATATATATGTAAAGCGTTGTGTAAATTGACGGCGCTATACAAGTACCTGTAATAAATAATAATTTCCATTTTTTTCTGGGTCTGTTTTTTTTTTCCCCCGCATTTTCTGGAAATTTTACATCTCTAGTCCTGTTGGGAAGATTTCCATTTTCTTCCTGTTCTAGAGACTGCCTTTAGTACCATCAGAGAGACAAGTTTTCGTCAAGCCACACAACAAGTCCCTTAGTGCATTCTGTCGTGATGTGTGTGTGTGTTGTTGTTTTTTTTTTTACAGCATCAGCAGCTCCTGAAAAAGGGGGAGGCTCTCTTCCACCAAAATGCATTGGCTGTATCTGATGCTCTTAGCTATGCTTTTCAAAAAGTTCTTGAGTCTATTCTCTGGAAAAGAGGCGACATAAGGGGGAATATGACCAACACGTAAAAATATTAAAGTGGTCCATATTGGAACTTGGTGTGGTCATTACAGGAGGACAAGGGGGCACTTTTTACATCTGGTGGAAGAGAAATTTAAAATGGTTGGAAAAGGTTTTTTTTTACCTTAATACATGCTTGGACTTAGGTGATATGAAGCATATATGGTGGACATGAAGCATATATGGTGGACATGTTTAAAGTCAAATGCTTGGATAAGTGTATTTAATGTGGTCAGTACAGTCCTACATCTATATCTACGGAAAGACCTCTGGGAAGCGCTATTGCACAAACCAATAGACGGAATCATGAGACAGGAATGCGCTATTGTCACTCATATCTTTATGGCTGCAGAAGAGACTACCACAAAAGCCTGGAAATCGCCAGCTCTTAACTTTGACAAGGTGCAGCAGTGCTTGCATGGGCGGGACGCTAGTGAGTGGAAAAACTCACTGTGATTCTCACTGACATGCTTGATAAATTCCTATGCTCTTGGCAGCCATGGCACAATAATTTATAGTTGTGACCTACCACACTGAGCAAGATATAATTACATTGGGCCCCCCAGGGTGAAACATCCCCTCCTCTTTCCTCTTTTTCTCGGTTTACTTTTCCCTTGACATCTGGAATACTATCTCCACTTCATGAATAGCCCCCTCTTTGTACTAACATGTGTATTACTCTACATGAGGCTATATGCTCACCCTTAGCTGTGCCATTGTAACCTACCTTGCCCCCATGCATGAATCAGGAAAAATACATGTACCCCCATGGGACTTTTATGGCAGAAAGATGTATACAACAATATAAAAACAATAAATCTTCATTACAAAAGTTGATAAAAGATTAGGAAGGTCAATAAAATTAAGATACAAATATAACAATTCATATCTCAAAAGATAAATGACATCTTTTGAGCTGTGAATTGCTATATTGTAGCTGTTTTTCCAGTTCAAGTGTTTTTCAACTGTTTTTTCAAGGCATGGACTTACTATGTACAGCTATAAGCAAACGTTTTGAGAATTACACAAATATTAACTTTCAGAAAGTCGGCTGCTTCAGTGTTTTTAGATCTGCATGTCAGATGTTACTATGATATACTGAAGTATAATTACCAGCTTTTCCTAAGTGTCAAAGGCTTTTATTGACAATTACATTAAAGAATAAGTTCACCTTTTGTAACATGATTTATGTTGCACCAATTTTTCAGGGTGTAACATGTTATGAATGGACTAAAACCCCCCCCCCCCCCCGATCCCCCCGTTGTGGAAGCTAGCTGGGGATCTTCTCCCTACTATCTGTCACAATTTAAAAAAAAAAAAAAAAAAATAGCCGCGTCACTCATTCACACTGTTCTGTAAATGAGAAAACTACAAGCCCCAGCATCCTTTGCAGCTGTCGACTTGTAGTTCTGAATGAACACTGTGATAGTTCATTGAGTCTTCCTGTCAGAAAGTCTCAGCTGCCCCTTTCGAGGTAGCAGAATATAGTGACAGATCAGAGGGAGACCTGCGTGGCACCAGCAATCTGCTGATCACTGGTGCAATGCTTTATAGGCTCCCAGAACAAAGAAAAAACATTTTTTACTTGCAAAAAATTGTGCATGTATTATTTGCTGAAAGGTAAACTTACCCTTTAAGTTTATGCAAAGAGTCAATATTTGCAGTGTTGACCCTTCTTAGCTTTAGCCATACGTTTTCAGATTTGTTCTGCCTTCTACATTAAAGCGGAGCTCCACCCAAAAGGGGAACGTCCACTTTAAGGACTGGTCCCCCGCTCCCCATTAAGGATTGGCACCTTTGGGGGGGGGGGGGGGGTGATAGCGGGTACCCGAATTTGACAGGTACCCGCTCCCACTTCTGGTCCAATCGCCCAGGCGATCGGAAACTGAAGGTGTCCGCACCCTCCCTCCCTCCCTGTAGTCTTTTGGGACACGTGACAGGTCCCAGAAGACTACAGGACCATTCAGAAAGCGCACCGCTGCTCGCACATGCACAGTGGGTACCTGGCTGTGGAGCCGCAAGCTATCACAGCCAGGTGCCCACACTGAAGATGCCGGCCTCCTGGAATACAGGATGGCCGGTGAAACGGGCTGCGGGGGACACACCACGGGACTGAGGGACAGGTAAGCGACTGATTTTTAAAAATCAGCAGCTACAGTTTTTTTTTTTTTTTTTGACAGGGTGAGTGGAACTCCACTTTTAAGGGGTTAAATAACAGATTCTTTCTTTAGTCTAGTTCATTGTTCTCCCTCTTCCATAACTGATGCCTTTATTTATCATCCAGCTCTTGAGCTGGGGAAGGTGGAACTGTTTTCCTGGCACTGCTGATACAGTCACTGAGTTTCCAGTGCATAGAGCTGTTGAGTCATGCAAGAGACAGAGAAAGAATCTTACATCACTTCTGTGTCAGCCAAATGGGCACTACTCTTATAAATTTACAGACAAGACAAGACGAAAGTGTATTTGCTGCAGGAGATCTGTGCACTAAAACTGCGTGGTACTTCCTGGACTGCAATATAACGTTTCTCGCCTGTTCTGTATCAGTCACCCCTTTTTTGCCACTAAGGAAACATTTGTTTTGGTTTTTACTGTTAGCTGTTATTCCCTCTCTGAGGCTCCTTGCATATATCAGTGGTTTGATTTGCGGGCCAAATCGCCGTGATTTGCATATCAACATTTTGAATCATGGGCAGGATTGCTGTGATGCTGCCCGCAATTTCATAACGTGCTATTAAAATGCGAAATTGCTCATTAGTGTGTTCAGGTGCAATTTATTTTAATGGGGTCTGAAAACACGGGGCGTTTTTGCTGGAACTTGTTTTGGGCGACGCGTCATACGCATAATGGCACCTGAACACGCTGATAAGAGATTTCACATTTTAACAGTGCGTTTTTTAAATTGCGGGCAGAATCGCAGCAATTCTGCCCATGATTCCAAATGTCGATATGTGAACAGAGTCTGAAGTCTGTACTAAAGAATGAGCTCTGTGATTTGTTTGCCTTGTCTCGAGGTACGTAAACATGAGCATGGTTAGAAGCTGAAACTAGTGAACCCTGCAATTTTTATTAGTAGTTGGCTCATTCCTGATGGTTTACTCGTATGTCCACTTGCTTACTGATGTTTCAAAGGGAAATATTCCTATAAGAGAGACATTGCTAAAACAAACACTTCCACACTCTGTAAAATTATGTTAGCTTTGATTTCACTTTTTAACCTTTTTTTTCTTAGCCGGTTATTAACCTCCCTGGCGGTTTTCCCGAGTGTAGCTCGGGGTAAAATTTCTATACCACAAGCGGTAACCCCGAGCTACACTCGGGCTTACCATGCGGCGCTGCTCTGGGGGTCCCTGCAGCACTTACCTTGTCCTTCGTTCCCACGATGTGTCCCCTGCAGCGTCCCCGGCCATCTCCTCCGGCCGATGCCGGCATCCGGCTTCTGTGTTCCGGTCCCCGGGACGTACGGGCGCCGCCCGGCGGCGGGAAATTTAAAAAATGTCATTTTTTTTTTTTTTTTTTCAGTTTTAAATAGTAAAACATTGCTGTTTCATCCCATTTCACATACATTTTGTCCCTAGTGCTTTGTCCTGTGCCCTGCCTGCAATTTTGTCTGTTCTTTCTGCCTGGAAACTTAGAAAAGTCCATGGCGTCCAAAAAGCGTCCCTTTAGGTCAAAAGCGGTTTTAGACCGGCTAGAGAACAGCGATAGTAAATCAGAACCACTTACAGAATTGAGTGATAATGATTTGTGGGGAAATTTTCCTAAAAATTACAGCCTACAATAAAAAACTATTTCCATGCGAAAAAATGGTACCGCTTTCAGCACAAAAAATCGGAAGGAATCATACCGCTAGGGAGGTTAAACACCTATTATAATGTGATTAAGCTTGAGGTGCAAGAGTATACCAACATTGGGGAATTTACTTTGAATTGATACAGTTGTGCAGCGCTCTTAAAATTTTTCTAAAGTTTATTACTCCCTTAGTCAATCTTCATAATATGTAATTTCTTACATAAATGAAAGGAAACATAAATAAAATGTATGTGCATATATAAGCATATACTTGTATAGCCTTGGCTATACAAGTAAAGTTTTGGGAATGGAACAAATATTAATTTTCACAAAATCTGCTGCTTCAGTGTTTTTAGATCTTTTTGTCAGATGTTACTATGGTATACTGAAGTAGAACTACAAGAATTTTATAAGTGTCAAAGGTTTTTAATTGACAATTACATTTAAGTGCAAAGAGTCAATATTTGCAGTGTTGAACCTTCTTTTTCAAGGCCTCTGCAATTCACCCTTGCATGCTGTCAATCACCTTCTGGGCCACATCCTGACTAATTCTTGCATAGTCGAATTTGTGGGGGTTTTTTTTGTTCACCCGCTTCCTAAAGATTGACCACAAGTTCTCAAAGGGGTTAAGGTCTTAGCTGTGTCCTGGCCATGGGCCCAAAATTTCAATGTTTTGTTCCCCATGTCGCTCAGGTATCATTTTTGCCTTATGGCAAGGTGCTCCATCCTAGAAAAGGCATTGTTTGTCACCAAACTGTTCTTGGATGTTTGGGAGAAGTTTCTCTCGGAGGATGTTTTTGTACCATTCTTCATTCATGGCTGGTTTTTTAGGCAAAATTGAGAGTGAGCCCACTCCCTTGGCTGAAAAATAACTCCACATATGAATGCTCTCAGGATGTTTTACTGTTGGCATGACACCGGACTGATGGTAGCGCTCACCTTTTCTTCTCCGGACAAGGTTTTTTTTCGGATGCCACAGACAATCAGAAAGGGATTCATCAGAGAAAATGACTTTACCCTAGTCCTCGGCAGTCCAATCCCTCTACCCTTTGCAGAATATCAATCTGTCTCTTATGTTTTTCCTGTACAGAAGTGGCTTCTTTGCTACCCTTCTTGACACCAGGCCATCCTCCAAAAGTCTTCACCTCACTGTGCATGCAGATGTGCTAACACCTGCCTACTGCCATGCCTGAGCAAACTCTGCACTGGTGGTGCGCGATCCTGCAGCTGAATCAACTGGCCTTGCCTGTGAACCCCTTTTTTGTGCAAAGCAATGATGACTGCACGTTTTTCTTGCAGGAAAATTATTATTTGTGTCATTCACAAAACGTTTGGCCAGTGCTGTATATTAAAACTTTTCTTGTGATATTTTTAACAAATACTATATGCAGTCATCAAATGTAGTGTATTATTCAAATGTATCAATTTATAGATATCTGAGGAGATATTTGGGTTGATTTAATAAAACTGGAGAGTGCAGAATCTGGTGCAGCTGTGCATGGTAGCCAATCAGCTTCTAACTTCATCTTGATCAATTAAGCTTTGACACCTGGAAGTTTCTATGCAGAATTGCATCGGATTTTACACTCTCCATTTTTCGTAAATCTCCCCCAGTGTGTGTGTTCTATGAGCTCTGGGGATTAGGAATAGCCATAAACTTGGGGAAAGTAATATTTTGTTCAGAGATTTTACTTCACCAATATACATACATGACATGTTTGCCATATTTTGTTTATCCATTTAATACTTGCTGCTTTTTTACTCCCATATTTTCATCATTTAGGGAAATTTCAGCAGAGTCTGAAAGGGAAACCCAGCAGCTTCAGAATTATTGGTCAGATGTACGGTACATGATTCGCTGCATATATCGCCAGGCTGGGACGCCGCTGGCAGATGACCAGGACCAGTCACTAGTGCCAGAGAAAGATGGAATGAAGGATTTGGTGGATAGGTAATCATCTTTCCTGTCTGTATATCAGGTGATCTGCTTGAGCGGTGAAGGAGGTTATGAGTAAGCGCTATATACAGCGTGAAACACATCAGCTATGCCTCGGTGTACCCCACTGCGATTATACTACTTATATGGATCCAAACATGAATCAAAGATGGCTTTTTACTGGATCTGAGGAGTGCAGCCGTCTGGATTTGTGTTGGTTCAGTCTGATTTAGAAGCAAGCTGGGGTTGGCACCTTTTGGAAACCGGATCGTTGAGTTCTGTGATGCTGGCTGACCTGAAGCAGTGGTTTGTTTGTAATCATCTGTTCTATTGTGGATATGATACACCATCTTTCATTCCTAAAGGAGAATTACAGTCAATCAACTTTGAAAGCTAATTTCAAGTTCTGAAACTACGATTTACCAACACTAAAGGCCTGCTTTACACTTATATGTTTTGCGGTAACGTGGTAGAGAATTCATTTTGATATAACATGCGCGTTAACTGTGGAAAAGTAAATTAAAAATTAAGGCCTACAATTAAAGCACAAAGGAAGGTATTTACATTAAATGAAATGTCTCTCGTGCTTGTGGCTGCTTTTAGTGGAAATCTTGTATTCCCCCCCCCCCCGCCTCACAGTGTTAATCTCCTCATACTGTGTGGGTTGATGGGACAAGCCACTGGACCAGTCATATTCATTTGTCAAGGTTCCAGATAAGAGAACAACCACCAGCACTATTGACACTTCCTTTTCAATTCAACTTCAGCTGGCCATAAAGAGATCGAAATTAATTCAGTTTAACAAGGACTGACTGAATTTCGATCAGTGTGTGACCATCCATTTTTTTCAAAAATTCTTCATTTGGTTGACTTCCGTCGATCAGTGCCTGTCGTTGGAGTGGATTCCTCCATCCACCTTGCTTGTGGGGATGAAGTAATACAGTCCCAATTCCAATTATGTAAAATCTACATAAAAACAGCATGAAATGATTTGCAAATCTCATAAACCCGTTTTTTATTCAGAATAGAAACTAGAAAATAAAATGTGAAACCCCGGCTTAGATCTAAATTGGCAGTAGCACCTATAAAAGCCTAAATACCCTGCTTAGACAATGTAATCAGACAGGTGCGCTCAGCCACTAAATTAATCATATAAAGAAATGGCATCAACATGATACAAACATGACTCAAAAAAAGTGCAAAAACATATAAAGTGCAAAAGAGTTCTAAATATATATAACAAAATCCCAAACTGTGCAAAACTATATGTAACAAATAGGGGTTCCCCCGAAAACAACCCTATCAGCCATTGGCCGATATGAAAATAAGTACCGATACAGGTGCCGAAAATAACCCCTCTCGCTCGTTGCGGCCGCCACCTGCTGCCGAACGGTAGTTCTCAGCCTTACCTGAGAAACCACCAAACGATCCTGGGGCTGGGCATAGAGATAAGTGAAGGAAAGATGACTCCACTCATCTCTATGCCCTTGGAGGACCGATGCGATGTCACTTCCGGTTCCAGCGACTTGTAAACAAGGCATTTTTTTTTTTTCCTTTTAAAAAGCACTAGATCAATGCTTTTTTTGATCTAATGCTTTACATTGTAAAGGAGAATGTGGGTTCTTATTGACCCCATATCTCTCCATAAAGAGAACCTGTCACTAATTATTTCTGTCACAAGGGATGCATGCACTGCACTGGAGATCTAAATGCGCTCATGAAAAAGGTAACACTCATGTAGCTTGTTCAAAGGACCATCCATCCAGCAAGGACCTTCAGTGCAGACTGTCATGTGTAGTGAAACCACTCTGCTCAAATGGTTATCCACCCGAGCATGGATCATCAGCATAAGACAAGATTGAAGGGGATTCACAACCACAGCATCCATATATATATAAAAGAAAGGAGAAGCCACATGGTGCAGTAAACTTAAAACGTGTAATAATGGAATGTTGCCCTGACAATAGTAGCAGTAATCCAACTGATCCCACAGTTATGAGCCACAGCGGTGGATGTGTGTGATGACATCAGTCAGGCTCCACCTTACATGTTTCACCCAAAAAGGCTTTTTTTTTTTTTTTGTGCCTGTGAATCCCATTCCATCTAGTCTTATGATGATGATCCTTGGAGCAAAGTGGCTTTACGACACGTCAGTCTGCACTGATAATCCATGCTGGTGGTGTTACCTTTTTCATGAGCTCCAGTACAGAGATCTATTATATTTGGTAAGCATCTTTGCATGTCTGGTTTCACTCAAGCACTGGAGCACTTTATTGGAATGTGTTTTTTTTTTTTGGTACTGTGAACCATTTCATCACTGGATTTCATTGGTTATTTATTGGGAGTTTTTCTGCACTTTATTTTGTAGGACTATATTACATATAAGTAGTGGTGCACCGAAATGAAAATTCTGGTGCTGAAACCGAAAACAAAAATTCAGAATGCACTTGGCCGAAAACCTAAACCGAAATGCGCAGTTTTTAAAAATAAATATATATTTTTTGGAATAAAAATACACTTTGATTAAAAAAAAAAAACCCCAAAAATATATACCCCACTTTTTTTTTATAAAATATGAAAGAGGATATTACGGCGAGTAAATAGATACCCAACGTCATGCTTTAAATTTGCGCACGCTCATGGAATGGCGTGAAACTGCGGTACTTAAAAATCTACATGGGTGATGCTTTAAAAATGTCCGGAACCGGAAGTGACATTGCTCCGTTCCTCCCAAGGGCACACAAATGAGTGGAGGCCATCTATCCTTCACTGATCTCCATGCCCAGCGCCAGGATCGTTCGATGGTTTCTCAGGTAAGGCTGAGAAGTATCGAGCGGTGGCCACTGGCGGCAGCGGCGGGCGGGGTTTTTTCAATACCTGTATCAGTGCTTTTTTTTCTTTTCAGCTGACACTGAAAGGGGTGTTTTCGGCCGATCATTTCGGCCACTGAAATTTCAGTGCATCCCTACATATAAGTTTTATTCATTTTTTATGAAATTGATTTGTATCTTATTTTTTATGATTCAGTTACATACTTTCTGCACTTTTTTATTGGACATTTTGTTACATATATGTTTTTTTTTCATTGTTTAGAATTTTTGTTATATTTAGAACTCTTTTGCACTTTTATATATTTGCATTTTTTTTAGTCATGTTTATATCATGTTGATGCCATTTCTTTATTTGTATCTATTTATCTGGTTGATTTAGTGGGTGAATGCACGTCTGTCTTATTTACAGCTGGCTGGAAAGAAAAACAGTCTATGGCTAGTTTTACTCTTTAATGGTGTACTTTAATTGTAATTTTCTAGAACATATTTGCATCAGTTAGGCCCCTTTTCATAAGAAGGATCCGATCAGGTCTGCCTTTTTTTCAGGTGGACCTGATTGGACCCTCCATTCACCCTTATGGGACTGGATTGTGTAATTGGACTGTTTACACCCGCATACCTCCAGTCCGATTGGTCTGCTAAAAAAAAGAAAAAGAAAAACAGAAGATGGTCCGTCCCCCTCCATCTAATCGGATCAGAGGGCAGTTAGGTGCAAATTGACAGCTGAGTCTGCTTGCACCCTACTGATCATAGAGCAGAGCTGACTCTGCTGATCAGAGCACAGCATGCAGATGACAGGTCCATGTCTGCTCAGTTTACTGCAGAGGATCAGTGAACAGATCACCTGCTGATCCTAATGGAGCCCACACCCCATGTGATGTGAAAGGAACCTTATTCCCCCCAGATGTTGCTCTTTACCAGTTTTCTTTACCTTAAATTGATATCGAACAGAAGTGTCAATTGCCATAATTAATTCACATAAATTATATATATCATGCCATTTGTATATTTTTTTTTTAAAGAATACTTCTCTAAGTACCTTATTCTCCCAGTGCTTTTGTGTGGTCACATGATCTCTCCCCGTTCTTTGACATCTTCAGGAAAAGTTCCTTGGGAGGGGCTTATATTACTCTGCAAATATATGCTCTCTACAGTTAGTCTGTCTGCGCAGCCCTGATTGGACACATTAAAAAAAAAAAAGAGTGATTGAAATTAATAATAATGAAATTTAACTATGGCCTTTCCCTTGCAGGTTGTGTGAAAGAGACCCTTATCAGCTGTATCAACGGTTGGAGCAGCAAGCCCGCGAATATGTCCTGGAAATGAAAGTCCGTCTACTCAAGCACTTGTCTCTGGGCTTTAAAGTCACTCCCAGTATCCAGGGGCCTCCCCAAGCCCATCAGTTTATTTCCCTTCTTCTAGAAGAGTACAGTTCTCTCTGTCAGGCAGCATGTACCATTGGCACCTTTCTGGTCACTTTGGTAGGGACAAAATTATTTCCATTTAACACAAATAAACATTAGTGTGCTAATAATGACAGGCAATATCTTTCAGAAGTTTAATTTCCAGGATTCTTCTGTTTTATCTTTTGTAGGAAAATGAGCATTTGAAGAAATTTCAAGTGACGTGGGAACTACACAACAAACATCTGTTTGAAAATTTAGTATTTTCTGAACCGTTACTCCAAAATAGTTTACCAACATTAGTTTCACAGTTAAGGTATTACTGTTTTTGAGAATTTACATTAAAATAAGAATAAGTGCTTGTTTTCCATTGCTACCAGCTAGATTCCTGCCATGTCTGTTTGGTTTATTTTTCCTTCTGTTTTGAAAGCTAGAAATGAAATGGTTTTCTACTTTACTGGTAGACTTGTTCCCCTTTAAGCTGAGATTTTAAAGCTAAAATTGTGATGGTAGATTTTCATGCAGTTGCTCCACCAAATGTCCATTTTTTTCTTATTTAAATGCTTGTTGGTAAATAATTTTAAGTAGTCAATCTTCAAAGTGCCAGAACTGCTCCTCAGGATAATTGGGCTTTGGAAGGATGGCTTTTAGTGGTTGAAACTTGGCAGAGCATCAGCTTTCCCAACCATTTCATGCCTAAATGAAACTTGGATGTATCCCATTTGGTTGCTGCATTAGCTAGGGTGTGGTGTTTTCTTGGAAACATTTGGGGCTCCCAAGGGTGAATCAGAGGCACTTTGAAGATTGTAAACTTGCTTTGCAGTCTTTAGAAAGAAGTTGCACCCTTCTGGTAGTGTCAGATGCTGTCCTGCACTCTATGGTTTTGGTTTCTTTTCTCATGCATCCTTGCAGAACGGCACTTTAGTGATGCGCAAGAGTCAGCAGAAGGAACTACAGAGCACGAGGGGGCAGGCATCTGACACACCGGAACATGCATTGGATAGTGAAGATTCTTCAGCAAGCTTGTTTCTGTAAAATAACATATTGTTTTTCTTTCCTTCCGCCAAGAACATTGTCAACTCTAGCCATCCAGTTGTGTATTCATAATCTGTGTAACATTGGTCAAAAAAGGAACCAGCCAAAGAGCCTTATCTTAACCATGCAGTACAGGACATAAGCAATAGAGCATGGGTCATAGCTCAATACCGTAAGGTGACTGAACACTGACAGATTTCTGAGGACATGTCCACTGGAATGCCTCCCTTATAACCCTACCCCACTCTGTGTTTGCTAGTGTCTGTTGGTGATGGACTTCTCCTTCCCAGAGAAGCAAGCTTTGCTACTAATATTTTCCTAAAAATTCATCAGTCAGCCTCACTGTCTACAGAAGCAGTGTATCCAGATCAGTGCAGCCTCAGTAAAACCTTGGCAGCTGTACCTGGACCCCATACTGTGGGGGACAGCCTGTAGTATTGCTTCGGGCACTAGATCCTGCTTGCAGTATTCACCTTGGCACTTGATGCAAAGCGTTTGCTTTGTTGTAGGGTGCTATACAGGTACAGGGCTGCGGTTGATCACAATGAAACCCAGTCCCTAAAGACCCTTATGGATATCCCCACTGTTATGGCGAAGCCTAGACTTTAGAGTCCAACGTAAACAAGACCGGGTCACCCGGTGTTTCATTTAGTTAATATGTAAAGTTTATAAAAAACTGTTTATTTGTGAATATCCATATGCAGTGGTATATATATATTCTACACATTCACACTATTAGAGGTTGAATCTGGTACATATCATCAGACTCGGAGATCAAAATATTATTTAAAGAAAAAAACAAATTAAAAAGACCTAAAACACTCTTACAGATTTTCAGACAGGATTGTAATATATTACACATGACAGACTCCCTTGTAATACAAGCTTCTCTCTCTCCCGCTCTATCTATCCACCTATATATCCACACACACATGCCTAGAGGTGTATATTCAGGGTATTTTAAATAGGAATCAGACATGAAACTAAGGGTTGAGGGGGATATAGATCTTAAAGAGGTACTAAGGGCTGAGACTTTTTTTGCATGGATATAATCATTTTAAATAAAATGCACAACACTGGTAAAACGTTTACTTTACATTTAATTGTGATGCCTTATATTACCTCCAGTCTATGAGCCTTCAGCTTCCCTGTGGTCTATATGTTGATCTTCCATGCACAGAGCCCATAAATTGATTTGTAAATTTTTTTTTTAACAACAAACTTGTCAATGGTTTTGCACAGAGCAGCCCTGATTTTCCTCTTCTGGGGTCCTTTGCGGGCACTTCTGGCTCCACTTGCCTTCAGAGTGCCCCTGTAGCAAGCCTCAAAGTTTAGTATAGAGTGCACCTATAGCTAGGTAAATAAACTTCTGCCTTTAGAATCACTCATTTCCTCCTGCCCAGGACTACATGTCACAGAAGGCATTGCTCCTCATATTCACAAGTTCTCAGGCACTTACCGACATTTGCCGGTGTACTGAGCTGTATGTGTGCTGCACTGTATTCTCTGATATGTAAACAAATAATTCATCCTGTATGCAGGCCAACTAATCAGCTGACCAACTAATTGAATATGAAAATAGTTGACAACTATTTTCATAATCGATTATGTTGATTAGTTGTGTCAACCCTACTTTTCAGTGACAGACAGCCACTTTGGCCTGTTTAACTTGGACTTCAGCTCATGTAAGAGCAGTGTAAACAGCAGGCTTTTGCAAACTTTCCTCAAGCTTCAAGCCGCAAGCCGCTTTCTCTAAGCCTTTAAAGCGCCCCTCAGCTCCTCTTTGGAAATGTAATTCACAGATCCTAATGGGATTGATGATTGTCACTTTAAACATGCTGGTAGCAGGGTTTAGGGGGGTTCCCAACAAGCTTCAAGTATTGCTCAACTTGGGGTTTTTACACTTGTTTGTGGGCCCCTTGACATGGTTGGTTTGCATAGTTGTTGCCCACCCTTGTGTTCATTGCTTTGGGTTGTCCCATGGTGACTGAACAAGTTGCCTTTGTCCTGTACTGTATGATTAGGAGTATGAAGAAGAGTTTTGTCTCTACCTGCAAATTCTTTATCTTTGAGTACAGTACAGAACGCAGGCCACCCTCTAATCTCTCCTTGTTAATCAATTGCTTGATACAAACCTGAAGACTCACTGAGTGGGGTACGGTTATAGGAGAGATGTCTTCTCAAATGCTTGGCAGTGTCCAATCAGTTGAAGGTATGGATCTATAACTCATGGTGTAGTATATGTGTCTTTTACTGTACTTCAAGATATGGAATTTACAGGTAAGTCAAAAATTCCTCTTTAGTGACTATTAAGTATTCTAGTTTACCTTGAGAGCTACTTGCTCATGTCTATTTTCTCAGTTGTTCAATGGCTGTCAGGTTCTTGACAACTGCTATTCTAACGGTTTTCTTCTTGTGTGTTTTGCCCCAGGCTTGGAACAGCATCACATGACTCGTACAGTGAAGATATGTATAGTACCTTATTACAAAGGTACCTTCAGCTGGAACAAGAAATGGGTCAGATTGCTGAAGAGTGGCTGGAGTGTCAGAAAAGAATTGATAATTATGTAGATGAACAGGTATGTTCTTTGTGTTTGTGGGGCTCACCAGACAATTTCTTATGAGTCTTTTATAGCTTTTGGTTGCATGAATTTAACTGATTGTGTACCTCATTGTTTTACTGTGTCATGTGATAGGTAGTCCTTATCCATAAGAAAATTTGCCACAAAGGGTCAAAAAGGTTTTGGCACAGACATGATGCACCTTTTGTGTCTGTACTTGTATGTACACAGCACAAGGAAACTGAATATTTGGCCTAACTTTGAAGATCCAGATACCATTTGGTTAAGACATAGCCCATAAAATAATGTACTCTTTTGATGGTCTCACGATTACTGATCAGCCTGCATACTTCAAGCAGTGTTGCCCTGCTATAATTGAATCTTCTGCCCACAGATCTATTACTCCTCAATAGAACAGGCACAACTAAACAGAAAAATAGATGTTTATTTTGGTTTAAAATTTGTTTTAGATGACTATGAAAACCAGGCACAGAATTCTTAAAGAAGATTGGAGATTCTTTAAACAAAGGCTGTTTATTGAAGAACAAGTAAGAAAATAACCCACCACTTCCACTGCGCTTCAGAACGAACTGTCACAAAATGAATTATTTATGTAGTGGGTGTTTAAAGGGTCAGACAACCTGAAATTGATGTTTTGGTTATAGATGGTCTTAAATGGGATGAAACATTCAGTGGCTTCTTTTATCACATGAGAAACTAGCAGTGGGATGGATTTCTCTATCATAGTATCTAATTTCTTCTGCATCATTTTTTGTGATAAAAAGTAAATGAAATAGACTGCTATAATGGTCATTGTTGATTGGCAAAGCTGTGAATTCCATTGCAGACTGATATTAGAATGCTTTAGTGTGATTCATCCCACCATCCCCTGCTTGGATTTATAATTCCAAAACATGTTGGTAGTTTGCTGATTTAATTATTTTTCTCATGCTGTGCTTTTTCTTTAATTATCTGATGATCATATTCTTGTTTCTCTCAATTTGCTTTATAGACATTGATTATAGTTCCTTGAATGCCTAGTGTCCTTAAATATAGAGCTTGATATGACTATTCTTTTCTATTTCATTGCTGTCATAACAAGGAAGTGATCAAAGCTCTGCTCTGCCAATCATACTTTATCTAATCTGGTTCTTAAAGTTTATCATTTTTAGGCTGTACACAAATATTGGACCATGCTTAGATTTAATTTTAATTTACGGTAATTTATTTCTCAAATTGGGATGCCCACACTTATTTTTTCTGCTTTGCTCTGGGGGCACTTGGCAGGAGGGAGGGGCCAGGAGCGCTGGTGGGGGACTCAAGAAGAGGGGGATGGGGCTGCTCTGTGCAAAACCCTTGCACAGAGCAGGTAGGTATTGACATGTTTGTTATGTATGTGGTTTTTTTTTTTTTTTTCATTTAAATTGCCTTTAATATCACTTTAATGCAAATCTGTATTGACTTCTCTTATAATAAAGTGGTGGTTCGAATTTGACAAGTACATGCAAACCTCTTCAGCTTTTTATCAAGACTCATGCAGTAGACCCAAAACTGGTATTTCCTTTATAAACTGACTTCATCTTGGAAAGCCCATTGGCTTGGGCTGTTGCAGCTTGCAGCAGGGGCGGACTGACAACTCATGGGGCCCCCGGGCAAGAGGGGATCATGGGGCCCCTGTGTCCTTGCCCAAACTCAAAAAAGCCTATGAAAAAGGTACCAGGGGCATCTCATGGGGCCCCCTACTGACCCCGGGCCCTCGGGCAGTGCCCGAGTTTCCAAATGGTCAGTCTGCCCCTGGCTTGCAGCCACCCATCACACTTTGCTGTCAGTGGTGAGGTTTGTGTATGGGGGTGCTGAAAGTGCCAAGTACTTAGGCTGTGTTCACATTTAAGCATTGCAGAAATCTTCAAGATTGCGTGCATTCCACCAACATGCAAAAAAAATGCACATCCCTTTTTCAGGCATGCAGTAACGCTCTTTATTCTTAATGGAACCCCAGCACATTTTGCTAACGTGCATGAAATAGTGCACAAAACACTGGGTACCAATGTACTATTCATTTTGATGCGGCACACTTTTTATTTAAAAAAACAAAAAACAAAACAAAACGAGCCATGCACTTGCACTAATTTTTCATGTGTACGGCAACCCATTAAAATGAATGCAGCCTTAGGTGAGTCTGTATTTGCATAAAAGTACCTTGGGTTTAAGAGCTCCTTATGAACATGGTTTACAAAATCTAGATAGGGACACATCCTCAGGTAAGACATTTCTGAAAGGGACAGATGTATAGCTGGTTTGTTTGACAAACTACACGACTACAAACTATGACCCAACCTTTTATTTGGACTTTCTCATTTTTTCAAAAACTTCAGCAGACCATAGAGTTTGCAATAGCTCCTAAACAGATGCAGTTGGGATTTTAAAAATAATGTACTATGTTCACAGAGTGTTAAGTATTGCGCTGGTCCATCTCTTTTGAAAGTGTATCTTACCCCAAAACCAAACATGTTGTGTACTACAGCAGGGTTTCCCAACCCATGGCTCACAAGCCGCATGTAGCCTGCAGAGCCCTCTGATATGGCCCATGACCACATGCTTTGAGATAGTGGGCCGGCAGTCCCAGATTGCAGGTTGCCTACCCTCCATCCTAGAGCATCAGATTGCAAGGAGCTGGCACCAGCAGTGGAGGAAAGCAGCCATTGAGGGAGCAAGAAGCGGCATAAGCCGATGCTTCCTATTTAGCTCCAGATCCTGTCTCAGGCGGAGTGAGACCAAGTGCACTTTTCCTGGGACATTTCTAGCAGCCTAGCGATGCTTGCAGAAGCTGTAAGAGAAAAAGATCAGTGCATTAAACATTATAGCTTTGCAATGGGCATTAAAGCACCTATAAAAGGGTTAACTATTTCACACTGATCTGCAGGTGCAACGCAATGAACCTGTGGCCTACCTGCAGGTTAGCAGCAATCAGCCATAGACTTCTGTTATATCCTGCGGATTTGGTGAATGCTGGCATTTTGGTGTGCTTTTCAGAAAGTGCACCACACCTGCAAAATATAATAGAAGTCTGGCAAACCAAAGCAGAAAGTCGCAGGTGCACTGTGCTGTCTTATAGGAGGCTCGGGACAGTAAGGGCTTGTTTACATTTGCAGTTTGGGAGGCAGTATAACCCTGTAGTTGAGACGTGTTTTTACCACACCAGTCAACCACTGGTGTGTAGCGTCGGGGGTTGACAGTGGATACCCTGCCCCATGCACAAGGGGGCCCGTGCAGCCTCGCTGTCGCATTCTGTTTTACATTTAGACAGGAGAGGTGGTGAGGGTGGCATATACATTAACTGATCTCTCCATTTTCCTCCTACAACTGCTGAAAGCCAGCTTCTCCTCTCTCCCTCCCTCCGACATTCAGTGGCTGCAGAAGAAAAATGTTGCTTATGCTCTTCAAAAAAAAAATTATAAAATTGAAAATTCGGAACCATTTCATTGTGGCCTGCGACCGGTTATCAGATCACTTAATAAGTGGCCCTCGCTCTTCAAAAGGTTGAGCACCCCTGTACTACAGCATGCCAGTCCTTATATGTGGTGGCTGCATTATTACCTGGTAATGCTGCAAAAACACACTTCAATTCACTTTGTGTCTACAAGCACTTTTCCGTGGTATCTGGAAGGAACCATGGTTGTCACACAGGGTTGACTTCAAACATTTTTGCTTTTGTCCATCTCTATAAGAGAGAGATAATATTGTTTATGCTTTCTGTTCATTTCACAGAAAGTGACAAGGATTCTGCATTGCTGGCAAGATCAGTAGGTATTTTCTGCACTTGATATAAATGGTGTTAGCCTGAAAAAAAAAAGGAAAAACCTAATACATATCCACCACATCTTAAACACTGGTGTATAAGGCCTCATGAACACTGGGGGATTAGCTTGATCCTGCCCGCTGCGCTATTGTATTCTGTCAGTGTGGAGGTTTTCCAGCCGCCAGAATACACTGACCACTGCCAGCAGCTATAGCTGCACAAAAAAAGACAGGCTGGTTCTACTAAAGTCGATCGATAAATCGACTTCAGTACAACCAGTTTGCCCACAGATGGATTGGAGTTTGGCCGGTTCCTGCTGAACTGGCCAAATCTTGATCTATCTATGGTGCCTTAAGTCCGTTTCCGAAGCTAAAAGAGCTGTTGATATGGTAATTAGCAGATTTCTAGTCCAGACAAACAGAATGGTTTGATGCCTGTACCCACCTGACTTTAAGATTGAAGATTAGTGATCAAGCTGTCTGAAAAAGGAGTAGCCATACATTGCTTCAATTTTTTTTTTCCTCTATGTTATGTGAAATCTGCAGTGTTTGACTGTCTTAGTAAACCTTCTCTAAAAGCTAGAAACTGAGGTATGGAGTTTTTATGGGCTCTTTCCATTTTACAACCCTATGCCATTGGATCCATACATTATTATTATTATACAGGATTTATGCAGCGCCAGCAGTTTACACAGCGATTTACAATCTAAAGTGGGATGGTACTATACAGTACAGTTTGATACAGAAGGAATAGGAAGGCCCTGCTCATGGAGCTTACAATCTGAGAAACCAATAAAATTATTATTTTCTTATTTTACCTCCTACTAGTTCAGAGTAGAATGTTGTGATGTGTAAATAAATGTATAAATGATGACACCATCTACAGCTCATAGGAAAAAAATGTGTCCACCTGATTGATGGTGTGGTTTCTGCCAAAAGGAGCGGACTAGTTATGAGTAGCTTGGTCTCTTTACCTTCAATCCCCCTAGTCGTCTTTGGTAGAGTGTTTTCAGGGCGACGGTAAGTCAGAGGTATACAAAGGTGACTGGCTAAAACAACTAGCAAGGGCAAAGCCTTAACAAGCTTTTTTTCTTTTTCTCTCTTTAAAGTTAAACAACAAGAAAGCATTGACTGGCGAGAACAACTTTGCTGATAAAATGAGGCATATGTTATCGACCAGAATGTGCATGTCTGACTGTCCAAACTGTAATTACAGGAGAAGGTGAGTGTGTGAACACGATCATATGCTCTCTCTGTGTTTTCTATGGGGTTAAGCTTCCTGTAGGCATTAGATAAAAGTCAGAACAATGAAATTACTGAAAGATTACTGAAAATGTTTTATAAGTAGTGTGTAGTAAAGGTATTTTTTTTAACAAAAAAAATAATCATCAGGTGGTTGTAAAATATTGTGGAGGCAACTGTGGAAAAAGTCATGGTGGTGTTTTTAAAACCGGATATTGTTATATTAGGGCTCAACAAATCCCGGGTGCCAATTCGCCATGGCGACTAGAAAATGCAGCCTGCTGCCTGGGCTGTTGTCTTCCCCAGTGGTGTACCACAAGGGAGCTCACCCAGACACAACATTGCCGGGCATCTGCAGGTGTCACTGCCACATGTGTGAGCCCGGGGGTAGGGAGGAGCGGTGCTGTGAGGGTGGGTTAAAGGAGTAGAGCATTGGGAATATGAAGGGTGGGTTAGGGGAGATGCGGGGCTGTACAGTAGTAGGAGGGAAGGGTCAGAGGAGGAGCGGAGCTGGTAGGAAGTGTCCTCTGTGGGGCTCTCAGGGATACCTGCCGCTCAGGGGAGACTCTCAGCCTCACCTCGGAGCAGGAACCGGCGGCTCTGAACGGGCTCAGCAATGGCTTCGAGCTAGACACCCCCTCGCAGAGGACACCTCAGGCATTTCGTTTTCCACCCTGGACAGGCTCAGACTGCAGCTCAGAGTTGGGTCTGGGCAGCCCAGGAGCCCTCTACCCTCGTGACAGCCAGTGTGGCCACCTATCAGTGTCCACATCAGTGCCCCATCAGTGTATCCTCATCAGTGCCCCATCAGTACAACCTCATTGGTGACCCCATCAGTGCAGCCTCATTGGTACAGCCTTATCACCGCACATCAATGAAGAAAGTTTTTTTTTTCTTTGAGTATTTGGTAATAAATAAAAAACCCAGTGGTGATTAAATACAACTAAAAGAAAGCTTTATCTGTCTCAAAAAAAGATACAAAAATGTAATTTGGGTACAGTGTTGCATGACCACACAATTGTATTTTAAAGTGTGACAATGCTGAAAGTTGAAAACTGGCCATGGCAGGAAGGAGGCAAAAGTAACCAGTAGACAAGTAGTTAAAAAAAAAAAACTGGCTCCTGACTTTTTTAGCTGGCTCCTAGATTCAAAGTAAATTTGTTAAGCCCTTTGTTAGATTCTTTTCCTGGGATCTGAGCTCATTGTGGTTAAGCAGCATTAAGGCATGCTGCTGGTAACAGCAACTGTGTCATAAGGTTTCCATTCAGTTGCTAGGTGAAAATGCATTGCAGAATTACCATGGAGATAGCAGTACTAATTTGGCAAGATACAGCTGTAATATAATTTAGTCCTCTGTACACTTCAGCATGCATACACCATAAATTAGTGCTTTTTTTTTTTCCTGTGCCTTTGATTAGCTGTCCCTTTACCTTCTGTACCAAAAAGGGAGAGAAAATCTTATCAAAGAGTAGAAGGTATCACTGGAAGATACCTCTACTGGAAGATTCCTGTCACAATTCGTTTCATTGTTGACTCTTACTTTTAGGATTTTCCATAGTTTGTCTGTAAAAATGGTCATCAGGACCAGTTGAGAGGGTAAATCTCCCCAGCTAGGGCCTAGATGGAGCACTAAAAACCCAGACATTGCTTGCAAACTTTCGCTGCTTTATACGGAAACAAAAGTGGTGATAAGAGATACTGATTGTAAAACCTATTTTTTAAATTAAAATAAGAGTGGTTATACTTACCTGCTCTGTGCAGTGGTATTGCACAGAGCTGTGGCTTACCTCCTCTTCTGGAGTCTCCCGCTGTCGCTTTTCCCTCTTTATTTAGAGTGCCCGCTCTTCAAGCTGTGTGCTGAGTGTGCACCCATGCAGGTGCGCTCCTGGGACAGGCTCTGTGCGTCCATAGACACACACAGCCCAGCTTGGCTACACCCTCAGGGTTTGAGCCTGTAGTTCCCACTGCTCAGAATCTCCTGTGAGATCAAGAAGAGGGAGCAGCTGTGCTGCTGGCAGGACAGGGCTAGATCTTGAGAGGGCTCAGCTCAAGTAGGTGTTTTTTCTTGGGGGGGGGGTAGGTTTATAACCACTTTAACCCATTCCCAACTGTCAAGAGAATTGCATGCTCTTTTGCCAAAGATATCACTTTTTCATGCTCTCCTTTTACATTAATCAAAAACAAATTGCATATCCATGTTTTTAGTACACCCCCCCCCCCCTCTTTTTTTTTTTTTTTTTTTTTGCACAACTGCAGATTTGTTTTTGGAGGTTTATAGAGAATCATTGCAAGAAAAGTTTTCAGTTTCCAATATAACATCCAGCTATTTTTGTTTATGCATTTTTAAAATGATCTTGATCATTAGTGTCATTCACTTCTGCAAGCCTTTGTAGTGTTGGAAAATATATGCATGTTGTCTTGTTTCTGGTGACACATAAAGCTTACTGTCTTGAATGCAGTCTCTAATTATGGAGTGTGTAGAATGTTGCTGCTGATTTGATTATCAATTTTGTTTGTCTTCCCCCCCCCCCCTTGGCAGGTGTACCTGCGATGACTGCAGCCTCTCGCACATCTTAACGTGTGGCATTATGGATACACCTGTGGCAGAAGAAATCCATGTAAACCCCTTACCACCACTACAAGTAGACTCCACTCCAGACTACCTGTCAGAAATCCATCCTCCCAGCATATCGTCTGCTAGTTCAGGGTCCGGGCCCAGCTCTCCCATCACTATCCAGCAGCATCCCAGGCTGATTCTTGCAAACAATGGCTCTGCACCCACATTGTAAGTTGCTGCTTTTCCACCCTTTCTCAGCTTATCTTTCCACTATAAAACTAGATATTCTGTAGTGTTCTTCGAATTATGTGACAATCTCTTCAGTTTTGATTCGCTCTGTAGCCCTGTCTTCAGTCCTGAAAAAAAAAAGAAAAAAGCCTTAAAAAAGCTAATGTAGCCACCACATCTAAGAACTAGTAAACGGCAAAATATAAATTTTTTGTTTTTGTGCTTCAATGCACTTTAAGTCACCTTCATAGATTGTAAAAACTGTGCTCGCGTTCCCAGGCCAGTGCATCAGCTAAACAAATTACAAGAATATCCTACTCTCCCTTTATGATTCTCCATTTAATTAATTAGCTATAAAATGTTAAGCGTACATCACGGGACACAGGATGCAGTAATTGGGGTGGTTTAGGGTTTACTGCTGCCCTCAAAAATTTAGACGCTTGCAAAACAAGGCTTTAGAACAGTCCATTATAACCCCTCCAACTTCAAACGTGCCACAACAGACCTGTTTCTCCCCTCAGAGGAAAAAAAAATGTTTTCGTCAAAATTCATTTTTATCTAGCACGTTTCTTCAGTTACTGCAGAGCCAGAAGGGGATCATTTTCTAGCTTGTGTGGATGGGCTGATCCTAAACTCTGTCACAGAAGCCATACCTGTACCCCACTGAGAAGAAGTGAAAACGTCCTGTAAAGTAGGACTGAAGGCAATTTTTTTTTTTTACATTTTGGATAGAGTAAGGGTTTTGTTTGCGCCATCAGTGCCTTCAATTCCTGTTCTATAACCACAACAGAAAATGAGAGGAAATGCATTTAAGTGACCACAACTGGTGTCCCCTTTGGAAGATTTTCTAAACTTTCAGTGATAACGGTCACCAGGACAAATAGGGTGAATCTACAAAACAGGAACACAGACCGCACTAAACACCAAACAGGTGTTCTGTCGCTTGTCCCCTCTATCCAAAACTTTAAAAGAAATCGCCCTCAGTTATACTTTAATGTGTCTTTTTGGCCCTGGAGTCTGTATTAGGCACTTATTTAGGTGCCTATTACTTCGTATTTGAGCTCTCTATTGCCTTACAAGTGACCCAGTCACAAAAGGCATTGACCTGTCAGGTCTGGTGCTAAAATTGAGCACTTTTTGCATGCTGTCCCTCACTGTCTTCTAATATGGTGGATCATAAATGCAAGAACAGTGGTACTGGGTGTATGGCCAGCTAGCAGTCTTAATAGTGTTGGGAGGTCATGCAGTGTCCTCTCTGTAGGACCAGACACAGATAGTTCAGATCACCTGCCTGAGTCATAGCACTCCTCTGAGCTACTACGTCTGAGTTTGTGGGAACAATTGCGGTTGTGATAGCAAAATTATAGCACAGGGGCTGCAAACATGCTTTCATGCCTTGTTATCCAGCATCTGTCTTTGAATTCCTGAGGCTGAAGTTGTTTCTCTATGATCAGTTAAGGGTGTGGAGTACTGTACCGTATCTGTGGACTTACACATTAGAAGCTTTGGACCCATATTGGAGAAACCCAGTGTGCTGGCGATATTTCTATTCCTTATCTGAGGACTTGGTACACAAGGAGTTGCGATCTACAGATATTACTCCAAAACTTAAGGATACAGTCTCAATCTATAGCCGTAGTCCGCATACGCCTAGATTCGGAGCTGCCTGCATTGGCTACACATTAATTAACTAGCCTGCGTTCTCTAAAGAGCTATCAACCTGTTAAGACCTTTACAATGCATTCCCTATTGCTTCAAGTCTTGTATCGCAGTTGTCTTAACCTGGAAAAAGGTCTTTGCTCTACTGTATTGCCCTGCAATACTCTATGGAGATGGGGCGCCTAAATAAGTGGTCTTTCCCAGTGGTGGACCAGCCATTTCCTGTCTTAACATGTTTAAAGACCCAGTGGATAGAAGGCTAGAAGCCCTTTCTAAGGTCTTAGTCTCACTTGCAGGTCCAGGTCTACAACCTGCCACTGCGACTGTTTCCATATGCCAGACCTTAGCTGTCTGGAATCCTGGATCTATCCTGATGCACCCTCTGTCCTCCATTAACTGTAGCTCATGCCTGTGTTCCTACTCAATCGTGTGGACAGGCAAACAGATTATTATTATTATTATTATTATATACTATTTATATAGCGCCAAAGGGTTTTCTCAGCGCTGTACAATAGCGAAGGGGACAGAACATGAGACAATACACAAGGGGTACGAGGGCCCTGCTCTTTCAAGCTTACAATCTAGGAGGGAGGGGATAGTGGTACAGGAGGAAGTGGCTGTGGGGGATGGAGTGGTGGGAGGAGTGGAGGAGATCGGTTGTTAGGTGAGGGTGGGGTAGGCTTCCCTGAAGAGATGGGTTTTCAGGGTGCGCCTGAAGGTGAGGAGGGTAGGTGACAGTCTGATGGATTAGGGTAGGGAGTTCCAGAGGATGGGGGAAGTCCTGGAGAAGTCCTGGAGTTGGGCGTGGGAGGAGGAGACCAGGGAGCTAGAGAGTAGGAGGTCCTGTGAGGAGCGAAGGGCATGGGTAGGGTGGTATTTGGGTATCAGGTCAGTTAGGTAGTTTAGGGCGGCGTTGTGAATGGCTTTGTAGGTCAGAGTTAGTAATTTGAATTTGATGCGCTGGGCAATCGGGAGCCAGTGAAGGGATTGGCAGAAGGGGGGTGGCAGATGTGGAGCGGTTGGTGAGGTGGATGAGTCTAGCCGCTGAGTTCAGGATAGACTGGAGTGGGGATAGCGTTTGTTTGGGTAGGCCAGTGAGAAGGGAGTTGCAGTAGTCCAGGCGTGAGATGATGAGGGAGTGTACGAGTTGTTTAGTAGTGTCTGGGTTGAGGAATGTACGTATCTTGGAGATATTGCGGAGGTGGAGCCTGCATGATTTTGATAGTGATTGGACATGAGGTTGGAAGGAAAGGTTTGAGTCCAGAGTGACACCCAGGACTTTGGCGTGTGGGGTGGGATTGATGGTGGCAGTGCTAGTCGTGATGGGGGGGGGGGGCGCGGGCTGGGGGGAAAACCAGGAGCTCAGTTTTGGACAGGTTTAACTTGAGGAAATGGAGTGACATCCAGTCTGATATGTCGTTCAGGAGGTGGGCGATGCGGGCGGAGAGAGAGGGGGTGAGGTGAGGGGTGGAGAGGTAAATTTGTGTGTCATCGGCATAGAGGTGATAGTTGAAGCCGTGGGAGTGTATCAGTTTGCCAAAGGAGGAGGTGTAGATGGAGAAGAGGAGGGGTCCGAGGACAGAGCCTTGGGGGACTCCAACAGAGGGGGGGAGGTGGCAGCGTTATAGGTGATGCTGAAGGAGCTTTGGGATAGGTAGGAGGAGAACCAGGAGTGAGCAGCGACCCTGATGCCAAAGGAGTGCAGTTTGGTAAGGAGGAGGGGGAGGTCGACTGTGTCGAAGACCGTGGAGAGGTCGAGGAGCAGGAGGACTGAGTAGTGGCAATTAGCTTTGGCGGTTAGCAGGTCGTTAGTGAATTTAAGTAGGGCGGTTTCGGTGGAATGTAGGGGACGGAAGCCAGACTGTAGTGGATCAAGGAGGTTGTTATCAGTGAGGTGGGTACTTAGGCGATTGTAGGCTAAGCACTCAAGGAGCTTGGAAGTGAATGGTTGCAGGGAGATAGGTCTAAGGTTGTTTAGGTCAGTGGGGTCAAGGGAGGGGCCTCCTTTCGGTATAGATGCGATTGACCCTTTGACTCAAATGTTTGCAGAACATTAGTGCAAGAAACCCCTCCTTCGCTTGGTTCTGGAACTCAGTTCTGCTGTTAGTCTGACATTTGTTGACCTTTGTGGCCCTCTGGACCAAGGGCATTTCAGATATTTTGGTCCAGAACATTGTATTCAGGGACTGCAATCTGGAATTTTAGTCTCTGCTTCCAACCCAATTCATATTTTCAAACTTGCGAATATCCCTGCAAACACTTGGCAGACATACATTCTAGAAAAAAAAAAAAAAAAAATCCCAGCGCTACTAAAAACCAGCAAAATTCTGCCAAAAAAAAAATCTCACTGGAGCTGCTACCACTAGTTTGTGCAATCACAACACAAATCAAATGTATATAACATTAGGTGAAGCGTTCCAAAAATGTGCAAAAATGCAAAAACAGTCAATAAAGCTTATAAAACATTTGTGACTTTAAAAGATAAATAAAATACACATATTAACCACTAGGGGACCACCCACAGTACATATACTGAAGCAAAGCGGCCCCTGTGCGCAGGATCTCATTTATAAACGTCATCCTGTTTACTTGCTAGGGGGCGCGCGCCCGCCCTACCCGCGGCACCACAATGCAGCTCTCCCCCCTGTCAGTTTTCAGCACACTGTTCCGGAGAGCAGCAGAGCTTAGCTTTCTGGGACAGTGTATAAGCTTTCTGGGACAGTGTATAACTGTGAAGCACACCCCCCCGCCCACTAGTAAAACACTCCCCTCACACAGTTAACCCTTTGATTACCTAAAAATGTTAACACCTTCCTCCCCAGTGCCATTAGTACAGTGTCAGTGCTTTTTTTTTTTGCGCACTGATCACTGTATTGGTGTCACTGGGGATGTCAGTGACCCTAAGTCAATCCCCCCCCCAGTGTCAGAATGTCCGCCGCAGTCCCGCCATAAGTCGCTGATTGCCGCCATAAGTCGCTGATCGCCGCTATTATTAGTAAAAAAAAAAAAATCCAGTATCAATACCGCCATTTGTGCACGCTATAACTTTAACATAAACCAATTAATTTACGCGTGTTGGGAGTTTTTATTTTTAGCAAAGACATGTCGCAGAATACATTTTGGCCTAAATTTATGACGAAATTTGATTTTTACATTTTTTTACTGGACATGTTTTATAGCAAAAAGTCCAAAATATTGTTCTTTTTCTCAATTTTCAGTCTTTTTTTTTGTTTATAGTGCAAAAAATAAAAACTACACAGGCGATCAAATACCACTGAAAGAAAGCTCTATTTGTGTGAAAAAAGGACGTAAATTTTGTTTGACTACAGCATTGCATGACC